AAGAGAAGATGATCAGAATTTGGTGATCAAGTTGCTGCCTCCTCCTCTTGCATTGTTTCAGGAAGGAAAGAGAGGCTAGGCCAAAATACACAGGGGGAATCCGGAAATCTCTGGCTGAAAGAATTCTGCTCTGTCTTACTTCTACCACCGTAAGCTTCATCGGAGCTCCTGAGTTTCCTTTGGAAAAGGTGAGTACCCCCTGGATGTATTCTTGCTTTAAGTAGATTGCATCCACCCAGCCGAGCTCCTCCAAAAACTTGGAAATGGTGAGCTTTGATGTACTTTGTGGGAGAGGGGGAGTGAGGGCTTTGCACATTCAGAAGGTTGCCTAGGGTCCCACCTGTGTCTGGGGGGTGAGTGGGGAAGAAGGGAGGGGCCATCAGCTCCCTGCTTTCTCCATTGGGCTCCCTCCCTTCTCCCACTGCCTTTTGGCTGGGTCTACTCCCACTCATGCTTCGGGATCCGGTTTAACCACACCTCCTTCCCAGACTCGCCCAAGGAGTCTGGGAGCCTTGGCAGCTCCATCCCTTGGGCCCTCGTGGCTGTTTATATACATATCTCATTCACTCCGATCTGTTTATAGCTACATTTCTCCCACAGACCATGAATTCTTTGAAAGCAGGGATCATATATTCACTCAGCCTCCAACAGAATACACAATACGATTCGATTACTATGCATACGATGAGTGGATTTATAACAATTAAAATCCTTCGCACCCTGGTCAGACATGATCGGTGTTGATTAAATAGGTTTCTCAATGACGTGGGGCGCCTCCGTGCTATTTTCGCGTTACTTTTCTATTCACTGAAACAGGTTCCTTTCATGCTTTTCTGAATTAAACTGCTGTTCAGTTCGTCACTAAAAACAAAAAGTATCTTCTTTTGTTCACCCAAATCAGACCAAATTAATGAAGATCACCAAAACCGTGCAAGCGGACTGTTTCATGGAGGTTTCTGGTTTAAGCAGAGACCAGCAAGAGGTAAACACTCGAAAATCCCCAGGAGAGGGGCGCCTGCCTGCCTCACACTCAGTGAAGTGTGTGACTCTTGATCTCGGGGTCATGAGTTCGAGCCCCACGTTGGGTGTAGAGATTATTAAAAAATAAACTTAAGAAAAAAAAAATCTCCAGAAGGAAAACTGTAAAAGGAATACCCTACTAATTACAGGAGATTATATGGACACCCCCCCACCAAATCACAAGGGTGGCCAGGCAAATTTGGGGAAATTTGATGCACCATTTTCCGCATTCTAGCAAGAATTGAAGAAACGTAATCTGCAGTGGGTGCCCGGTTTGGCGAATTCAGCATACTCTTTTGCTGCTGGCCCAACTGTTTGGGAAAGAGGAGTGACAATATATATGAGAAGCCAGAAGGAAATTCCATAATGCAGCCCCTGGAAATTCGTCCCAAAGCAATACATGAAAAGAAGAAAACCTATACGCCTGAAAGTGTGTGTTGTTCTCGTAATAAGAGCGCCCTCCCTCTGCTAGTCCAGTTGGTCGCCATCACCCTTTCAGGCATGGGGTCATGCTGCCTCTGGGCTCCCAGTGTCCTGGGGGCCTCCTAGGGAGGTACCCTCCCAGGCATTTGTAAAGTGTTGGGTCTCCCACAAGGCCGATGAATCAGAGCTGTGGGTACAGGTGACGCCAGGCTCCCCTCAGAGCAGACCAAGTATTCACCTTGCCTCCTGGCAGTGGCTCCTCATTTTATGCCCCAGCCTTCTGGGTCTCTCCCCATTTTTCCAGTCCGCTGATTCCCACTGCACCATCTGAAGGCTCCTTAGAACTTGAGTCCAACGTTCTTCTTGGTATATACCCCCCAGAGCATTCTGAGGCTTTTAGGAAGACAATAATTGCTGATTAAACCAGAATCCAAAGCTTTAGTAACCAAACCAATCCCTATCCAACCAACCCAGCCAAACCAAAAGCTTTTCCTCTCTATTCAGAAAGGGTTGAGAAGAGGCAGGTGTTTCAAAAAAGAATGTAAGATCATTTAACCACGACAAAATAAAGTAATTTTAGTTGATGTTCTTTAAGAAAAGTAAAAACTAAAAAAAAAAAAAATTAGAAGAACAAATATTGCTGCAATCTTTAGAAATGGAGACGACTTCCAATAGGGGATTGATGAGTAACATTAGGGGTCCTTAAACATTTCTGCTTACTATAGGACATACTATTTACCCTCTTGCATATTTTTAGGTTAACATTTAAAATATTTCATCCGAAGTTTAAGTAGTTGCAAAGAATGCAATTTCCTGCATACTGTAAACACTGACATTTTAAAATGGAATAGTCACTCTCTTGAATAAATCCAATACAATCTAAACACCATAGACATTATGCCTACTACTCACCGTTTTAAAAATATAAGAAAAGCCTCTTCTTTACCTACAGTATATTTTACCTAGTTTATTTTTCTCTTTACACTATAACTCCATTTCACATTCTTGCCCTTGAGGATTATATCCTAATTTCATGCATTTCTGTGTTTGAATGTATTTTTTCTATCACCTTACTATATTTCTCTGCAGTGAAAAAATATATACATTTAAACTTCAGTTTTTAATTTTCCTGTGGCTAAAAGACTAAGTGCTGAAACACTTCTTCTAGATTGAGATATATTTATTAGTAATAATCAAGTATTCAAAATAATATGAAATATATTACAAAGTTTTAAAATTAGACCTAAGTATTTTTTTTTTTTTTTACAATTACTGCATGTGTTTGTTGTTGAATACTACTTCTTACAAGAAAGAGATATAGTTTAGCATCAGGGTTTTCTGTTTTTCATTTTTGTAAATTCTAAGACCGTTTTTACCATTAATAAGTAGATGGGATTGTAAGGCGTTTTGAACTTTTCAATTCTTTGAACTCCTTCTAACTTATACAACTCATTTAGTGATCTCAAGGCCATCCTTTATTGAAAGCAACTATTTGGAAATCATATGACTTGTAGAAGAATTGGTTACACAGCCATTAGAAGTATATACTTTCTCCACAGTCCAGTCTTTTCAATTGATAAAAAACTGACACAGGTTCCCTGAAGTTTTTATACCCTGGAATAAGGCACCCTTTTAAGATTCTCAGTGAATGAGAGTTATGCCTCCCTCTCCCCCACTTCCTTTTTTTGCAATTTGGAAAATGTATGCCTGTGGTGATACAGTTGGGAAAGGAAACAGGCAGACAACTTGACCGCATTCTTTAAAGCAGCAAATCAGTTTCTGGAAGTAATATGGATGCAAGTTGAAGATTGAAAAACAAGCAATCTTAAAATGATCTTAAGTGTGCACTTGCCCCTTGAAAATCCCCCAGGGGGTGCACATCTCGGTTTGCGGGTCACTTACATCATCTTACTGAATTTGTAAGAGAGACAAATCAGCTCAGGCTAGGTCTTGGTTGGGGTTTGTGACTGGTGTTTATCGTACCTTAGGAGTATAGAACTGTGACATGCACACTAAGGATAAAACAGCTAGTCTTCTGGGCTGGTTGATTGTTAAAGAAGGCTGCCCTGATCTTTTATATTCTGTTCTTCTATATTTTCTTCTCAATGCTAGTAACCTGAATTTTGGGGTACCAATGTAGAGCCTGTGTACTGACTACCTAAATAAAAAATGATTATTAAGACTGTAAAAACATGAGAAATCTTTAGAGTATGGTAAGGGGAAAAAGCAAATATGTAGTTGTATGAAAATTAGACTTCAGTTATGCACTGAACTATGTCAACTACAACTATAACTACAACTACAACCCAACTACATCAATTACAAAAGTACATAAATTTATCAACAACACTGTGAGTCAGTAAGCAAAAATGAAGCTGTGATTTTTTTTCTCTGTGTGTGTGTGTGTGTGTGTGAGAGAGAGAGAGAGAGAGAGAGAGAAATGTCTGACTTCAAAAATAATGATTACTTTTGTGAGGCTGGGGTCCGATAATCTGTCTAACCTAATATTCTCTTTCCCCTAGTGGTACTCAAGGAACTGGGTTTGAGTTTAAGTTCCCCAAAATAAAGTGTTCAAGAGATTATCAGGTTTTTTTTCCCTTTTTAAAAAAATTTTTTTGATCAGTTTTTCAAACCCTCTTTACTCATCACGATTCACTACGGAGTCATTCCCAACATGCTTACACTCTTCTTCAAGCTAGTTTCTTACATCCCCTGTCTTAACGTCATAAATGTGGTAAGTTTTCTTCGTGCTGCTTCCATGTGCTGGTTTTACTGTTGTCAGGAGCTCGACCTTGCTGACTTAACACTGCTCTGAAATTTTACCACTTTTCGTAAATTTTGTACCTTTTAGAGTCCTTATTAAAAAAAAAAAAAGAAAGAAAGAAAGAACAAATCATGTCTGGCAGCCTCCCCAACGGATCTTTTTCTCCTATTTCTGTTTCCAGTGTTTTTCTGGTCTTTTGTTTTTCCAAGATCTGAGAGCTCGGTGTGCTTCTACCCAAAGGAGAGAAAGAGTAGTCCGAGAGCATTTATGGGTGTGAGAGAGGAATAGGAACTGCCACCCTTCTGGAAGTTCTGGCCGTGGGAGCCGAAGGTCCCGCCAACCAGCCTCCCGAGAAACAGGCGCGGGGAAACCCGAGCGGAGAAGCCCGCGACCCGCCCGCACCACCTCCACCGACCCCCACCGACCCCAGCAGACGCGGGGCGATGGGGCCCCACGGCCCCGCCCCCTCGTGGGGCCACGCCCCCCGGCGTGCCTCACGCCGGAGCGTCTTCCGCCGGGCTGGCCGCCCCGCCCCGCCCCTACGCGGTTGCTCGCGGCGGCCGCCGCCCTCCCCCGGCCCAATGGCGCGGCTGCCGCGTCAGTGATGTGAAACCTCGCTCAGGCTTGCCCGGCCCCCGGCCCGCAGCCCATTACACCATCCGCCGCGGCATCCGCTGCAGCTGCTGTAGCCCGCGCGGACGGGGAGGGCGGGAGGCGGCTCGGCTCGGCGTGGCGGGGCGGGGCGAACGGCGCGGCCGGATTCATTCCTGTGGGGCGCGGGGCATGGAGGAGCTGTGCGGCTGCTGGCGGAGCAGGCCGGCCCGGGCGGCGGCGCGGACAACGGTTTCCATTTAAGGCGGCGACCCGAGCCCCAGCGGCCGGCGGCGGCGGAGAGGACCAGCCCCCGGGCAGGTAGTGGCTGCGGCCTGAGGCTCCCGCGGGGAGGCCCGGGCGGGAAGGGGAAGGAGGGCGCCCCCGGGCCGCGGAAGGCGGGCTGCGGGCTGGAGGCCCGGGCTCGGCGGCCGGCCGGGCAGGGGTCGTGGTCGCTCGGGGAGGACGGGGACGAGCTACCCGGGTCTGGAGAAGGTGGCGGTGAAGGTTATGGGGGGGGTGCCACGGAGGTCTGGGGAACCTGCGATCCCTGGCGGGGGGTGGGGGGACGGATCGAAATGGGGCGGGCGAAGTTCTCTAGAAGGCGGCCGGATTTCCTGAGAGCCTCGAGTAGTTTGTAAGGAAAGAGAACCTTTAGGGCGAGGGCTCTGGCGCTGGCTGGCCGCGGTTTGTTGTGTCCGACCTTTTTGTTCCTTCTCGAAACCCATTCTGGACACCGCGAGGCCTCGAGCCTGGCGCCCTTGGCTTGCTCTCCTCTGCAGATGTGAGAGAGAGAAACACTGCTGGACCCGCGGCTCTTGCCTCTTTCGGTTGTACTCTCCCTGGGCGTGTGCAGAGCAAAAACTAGAACAAAGCTTGGCTGCTTAGGAGGCGAGAAAACCGGTTGCCTGGAGTGTTCAATTTACCGCATATAGAAGAGAAACTGCCTGCCAGCAGAACATTGGGGTCGGTGTGCACCTTTTTGTGTTCTTTCCCACCGTGTTTGGGTGGCTTGAGTCGTCCCTAAAGTACGCCACCCCCCCAACCCCTGCCACCTGGGAGTAAGAATTAAGAAAACCCAGTGTTTTTGCCTTCACCTCTGGAAAATTCGAAACTGCTACTTTTCCCCTTCCTTTTCCTTTTTCTAGTTTGGTGCTCTGGTGGTCAGATGTCGGAAGGCAGTAAGGCGACAGACTCTCCGTGGTTTTATATCCGTTTGGGGTGCAGCGGTTGACGGTGAACTTTGGTTCCTGTCACTCTTGCCTGTGTCGATAAGAGTTAAGCCAGAGCTTTGCTTTGAGGGATAAAGAAAGCGCAGCCTTTCCACTGGACATAAATGGATCTAAAGACAGCAGTGTTTAACGCAGCTCGGGATGGCAAACTGCGGCTTCTCACCAAGTTGTTGGCCAGCAAATCCAAAGAGGAGGTTTCCTCCTTGATCTCGGAAAAAACAAACGGAGCCACGCCACTCCTGATGGCCGCCAGGTATGGGCACCTTGACATGGTGGAGTTCCTCCTCGAACAGTGCAGTGCCTCCATAGAAGTGGGGGGCTCCGTCAATTTTGATGGCGAAACCATCGAGGGGGCTCCCCCGCTGTGGGCCGCTTCTGCAGCGGGACATCTGAAGGTGGTGCAGTCCCTGTTAAACCATGGAGCGTCTGTCAACAACACAACTTTAACCAATTCCACTCCTCTTCGAGCTGCCTGTTTCGATGGCCATCTGGAAATCGTGAAGTACCTCGTGGAACACAAAGCCGACTTGGAGGTATCCAACCGACACGGGCATACGTGCTTGATGATTTCGTGCTACAAAGGACACAAAGAGATTGCTCAGTATTTGCTTGAAAAGGGGGCAGATGTTAATAGAAAAAGTGTGAAAGGTGAGTCCAACTTCTTCGTTTTGGCTTTCCAAGTGTTTACCATTATTTTCAGGAAGTCTGGTCCCTAACTATAAACAGCGGCTGCTGAGTCAGTCAGCATTGACCTGTTTTGATGAGGTGTCCCTTCCAGCAAACCTTGTTGGTCGTTTCTCCCGTGTTTGAGAATTCTTTGCGCAAGTGCGGTACAAGGACCTCGGTCACGATGTTAAGGAGCATTTTCTGTCTCTGATTTGGAGGCCCTTCCAATTCCTGGGCTCCCCAGAGTTACAGGGCATGTTAGTGGCAGTTGATCGGAGCCCTTAGGCTTGCACTGAATCCACTTGAGAATATACTTAAGTGTAATGTATTTTCTTAGCTTTGATTTTTTTTTTTTTTTTTCTAAGAACACCGGTGGAGTAGAAACTACTATATTTAGTGAGTCATTGTCTTATGTGTCTTAGCTAGGCATTTGCGTTTGTTATTCTGTCGGGGAAGGCCAGGCCACACTGACCTGAAAGGATTAATACCAGTGGAAAAGGAGAAAATCCATTCCCTTATTCTCTATTTATTGTGTGGCCAATAGAAAATCCTTTCACATTAGAACATGTATTAAATATAGCAGGAGAGAAAAGAGATTTTAAAAACTGCTACAATCCTGAGAGCCAGACAAGCGCTAGGTTAGACAGAAGTGGATTTGTTGGCTAGCAACAGTGTAAACACCTCTGTCCAAAAGAAGAGCTCAGGTTTACAGTTGTGTGTAATTTTCAGGGATTGTAATAAGCCTAAAGCAGCAAAATGATAGTTGAGAGGTTTTTTTTGAAACTTTTAAAAACAGGTGTTTTGATCGCCTGTTTTGATACTTGGAAATCTTTTTTTTTTTTCCCCTTCAGCGTATTTATTTATACAACAGCAAAGTAATTCACTGCCCCATTAAAAAAAAGAAAATCCCTTAAAACTTAAAAAGTAGCCTACCTATATGGTAAAAAAAAAAACAAAACTCAAACTATATAAATTGATTGATGGTGTTCCCAATGACAAATCTTACCACCTCTGACTTCTAGACCTCCAACCCACTGGCAGCCACTCTTTATAAGCTCTGTTTATGGGGTTTTGTGTGTCCTGGAGATGGTCTGCGCAGAAACTTGTCTTTTTCTTCCCCCTTTCCCTTCTGTTAGTTGATACATGCAGTTTCGGTTGTGTTTTTTTTTTTTTAAACCTTAGATTATCTTGGATGGCATTGAACTCCAGCACACAGAGCTACCTCATTCTGTTTAGCGGCTGCACAGTATTTCATTGTATGAATCTACATAATTTATCTAGGCCCTGTTGATGGACAGTTAGGGCATATCCAGTGTAAGCCATGCTTCTGTAAATATTCTTGAACACAAGTGTGTCTTCGCACACTTGGTTGAGAAGAGCTGTAGGGTAGATACTGATAAATGGGATTGCTGACTCAAAGAGTGCGTTTGTTGTTGTGATGGTGTCTGATTGCCTTTCAGAGAGGCTAAAGTACACCATTATGGGACAGGACATAGTTATTGGACAGAATTTACTCAAGTTATTAGAATCTTTTTTCTTTCAAAGTTTTGATACAAAATGATGCGGGCTCATTGTGATTTTCTGTAAAAAAAAATTTTTTTTTTGGAGAAAACATTAAAAAATCTCACCAAATGCCACTTAGAGATAACTGATACATGTATGTGTTTTATTTTATATGCTCTTCTATAATCTTTTTTTTTAGCTTAATCAGTAATGTCTTTAATGGCATTAATTTTAGCCCCCAATTTTAATAGCCGCATACTCGCAATGGAGTTCTCTGTTGCTTCTGGCTTTTCAGTAGGAGACAACGTGTTTCCGTAGACGTTCCTTCTTAGACATTTTTTCATTTGTTCCTGATCATCTCTTTGAGGTGGTTTGTTGGCTTAGAGTACAGCGTGACATTTTTGTTTGTTTTAAACATTCATTCCTTTAAAGAATGCTAGTCTTAAGAGAACAGTTACTGTTTACATGACCATGTTAACTATGAGGAATGCTTTGAAATCGTAACTAGTAGAGAAAGCATTAAAAGTTACGGCCGTTTGTTGAGGCTTGTTGGATATTTTGTTCCTTTGTTTTGGGCTTTTCATTCATTAGCCTAATAACCTACAGATTGTCGAGCTTACGTATTCAGGTGAAGTTGTTTTAAAAACTCTTGGGTCATTGGAGAGCTAACTAGTAGTACTGTTTCCCTGAACAGTAGTACTACTTCCCTTTCCTCCTCCTCTTTCCCCCTAATGAACTGAATGGTATCTAACTTGATTGATTACCTTTGCTTTTTTGGACGAATGTTCCTTTCATCACCATCCTCATACAGCCTTGTATGTGAGGATGTGGTCAAATGATCTAATTCTAGAGTTGTTCCACCTCCCCCACCCCCTGGCCCCATCAGTGTTTAGTACTTGTGTCTTTCGAAAAAATTACACATAACGTGAGAAAACAGTTTTCAAAAAATTATTTTCAGATAGTCTCAATTTTATGGCCATACAGATATATGATATATGTGTGTGTGTGTGTGTACATACATACATATATACATTTACACACACACGCGCACACACACACACACATATATATATATATAATTTTGTGTGCAGTGCTTTTACCTGTTATGGTCCCTTTTAATTTCAACAGTGACTCTTAATTAAATTGGAGGCAGATTAGGATGTATATGCACCCACCCTCACTCTGATCCCGAAGCTTCCATTCTTTGATAATCACTCTCTCACTGACTCTAGATTTTTTTTTATAGGTTAATGTGTAATAAAAAAGCAGGAACCGGTTAAAACTGAGGCAGGAACACTGGTGAAGGATTGATCTGATAGGGCAGCAGGAAAGGAATATCCCCCCCGCCACCCCCGCCACACACATTTTCGCTCTATCCAAGAAGTAGAAAAGAGTGATGAGATGAGGGATGAAATGGAACCGTTTCTTAGGAAATGGTATATGTCAGCTGTTGGAAATGGTTGTGAAGAAGGAAAACCCCAGTAGATTTTGCTTGGTGTGCTTAAATACCAAATGCACGTGACTTCTACATTCCATTACTTTTTAACAGGCTGTTGGCATTTCGAACAGGTTTTAACCAAAGGTGGAATTCATTCCCTAATTGAGGGAGCACTTCCTGAGTCCCTCAGCATACCAGGCTGTTAGATTGAGGATAGACAGAGCTGAGTAAGACCATATAACCAGTCCTTGTTTCCTCGCTCTCCAGCTCACAGCTTCGTTGCAGAGACAGGCTCCTCCGCAGGTCCTTGCGCCACAGTATGCAGAGCGTGGCCCCAGTGCTTCCTTGTGTTTGATTTTTGGAATTACCTTATCCCCAACCATCCCAGTACTTGAGGGGACTCTGCACTCACTCTTTTCCCCTGGCATTCACAAAGAGGAGAAAACCTTGGAGATGTTTACCAGTACTTCTCCAGTTGAGCACAGTGGTTGATCTGTGAAACAGGAGAGTGGGGTTGCTGTTTAAAACCGCAGACCCCAGGGGTGCCTGGGTGGCTCAGAGGGTTAAAGCCTTTGCCTTCGGCTCAGGTCATGATCTCAGGGTCCAGGGATCGAGCCCCACATCGGGCTCTCTGCTCAGCGGGGAGCCTGCTGCTCCCCGCCCCCGCCTGCCTCTCTGCCTACTTGTGACCTCTCTCTGTCAAATAAATAAATAAAATCTTTTAAAAAAACAACAACAAAAAACGTAGATGCCAAATGAGAAGTGATTCAGCAAGCTCATCTCAGAGCTTCCACATTGATTTCACCACATCATGGTTACCGTCATCTTCCACTTAGTTTGTTGTTTCGTTTTGTTTTAATGTTGGTGGATTCAGAATACGATCCATGGTAAGAGACTTTAGCCCTTCAGTTCTGTTTTTGCACCCAGATTCTGTTGGGAATTGAGCAGCTGAAAGTGATTTGAGTACCAGAGACCAGCAGAAGAGCTGCTCTGGCTTGGGTTGGGAAGACTGGCCCTCAGAGAACAGGCTACCCTCTGGCATGGGTTCATCTTTTTAAATATCCAGAGGTAATTAGGGTATTGGTAATAAGATAATCACTGTGCATTTTCTGTAGGCAGGACACCGTGGTGAACATTGTGGAGGCTGTGAGAAGGTACAGGACATCGCGTTTGTTAACTGCTGAAGGAAGAATGTGAACCTGTGCAGGATGGATTTTAGGGGTGTGATCTTTATGGGGACGTTGAACTGGGCCTTGAAAGGATTGTCAGGGTTCAGACCTGTAGAGTGCACTGGATACAGTTTTAAAGGCTTAGGAAATGGCCTAAGGAAAGGCACATTGAGAAATATGCTTGGAGGGCCAGGAAGTGGAAAAGTCGGCATATTTGGACCCAAGGGCACTCAGGGCTAGATTATGAAGGACATTGACTTCTAGGTAAAGAAGTTTGATTCTTTATGTTGGGGTAAGCTAGTGAAGTTTTCAGCTGAGAAATAACTGGGATCTTTCTTTCTTTTCTTTCCTCCTTCCTCCCTTTCTTCTTTCTTTCTTTTTAACTGCATTCTAATTCTATTACATTGTGAGTTCTTTAAGGCTAGACACCTGGTGTTTGTATCCATGTGTTAGAGTGTCCGGCCATAGTGGGTTTTTGGGAAATGAGTTTGTTGAATGAAGTAGGTTGGATTTAAGAGGGAAAGGATTATAAGCTCCTTGAGGGCAAGAACTGTTTTGTTCTTCTTTCACTACAGAAATAAAATCCGTACATGCAGATGTGAAGTAAGAAGTTAAAGCCGTAATCGTGAAAAATGAGCATTACTAGTCTTCAGAAATGGGAGAATTCATGTAGGCCCATAAGTAGAGCTGGCTTTAAAAGGGTTTGAGAGAGAGAGAGAGCTAGGTCAGGCAGTTTATTTGCCTTTTTATTACAGAAATTTTCTAATTTCTGCATAAGTGGAGAGAAGAATATGACTGGAACCACTATGAACTTACCACCTTGCTTCAGTAGTTACCCGCATTTGCCAAAGTTTTTTAAAACTTTGTTTCTA